CCTCGAGGAGCGCGGCCGATGGGGCCCTCCCCGCTCCCTGCGGCCCCGGGGCCTCGCCCCTCGACGTCTCTCCACTCACGGAAGAAAACATGGGAAGTGGGGGGGGAAGACAGGAACCCAAAAAATATGGGGAGATATGGGGAATGTTTTTATTTGTGTGTATTTCAGAGCGTGAATTACCTACCCCGCTTTCGCTTCCAGGCAAAACCAAGCCATACCACGCGCCTCCAAGCGGCCTGACCAGTACAGGCTGCGATTTGGCATCGTTTGGTATCTCTTGGAAGCGAGGGTGGTCAAAAGCGAGGTAGGTTTGTTTTCCCCCTAGTATTCATTTGTGTGTCCTAAACCCTAAACCCTGGGAAAACATGGGAAGTGTGGGGGGGGGGGGAAGACAAAAGTCCGAAAAACATGGGGAGATATGGGGAATATTTTTATTTGTGTGTACTTATGTGTTCGTGCCCCGGGGCCCCTTCGTACCGTGCCGCCCTTTTGTGCGTGCCCCCGCCTTTGCCGCTGCCGCTGGCACCTTTAGCCCCGCCTTTGCTGGCGGCCCCTGAGCCCGCCTCGGGCTTCTCATCGCGGTCGCACGCGTCCTCGGCCTGCGCGGCGCAGGGGCGTCGCGATCTGCCCGCGCGCAGCGCGCCCGGCCGTGCCCTTCCTGGCGCAAGACCCACGGGCTGAATTTCACCGCTGCCTTTTCCGCGTTGAAATCGTGCTCGCCAGCCCTCGTCCGCGAGGTAGGTTTGTTTTCCCATTTGTGTGTCCTAAACCCTAAACCCTGGGAAAACATGGGAAGTGTGGGGGGGGGAAGACAAAAACCCGAAAAACATGGGGAGATATGGGGAATCTTTTTATTTGTGTGTTCTTATGTGTTCGTGCCCCGGGGCCCCTTCGCACCGTGCCGCCCTTTTGTGGTCCTCGGCCGGGGCCCGCTCCCGCAGCCGGAGCCCGCCGAGGGCCTCGAGAAGCAGCGGCGCCGGACCGCGGAGGAGCCAGCGGCACGACGCGGCGCGGGCGCGAGTGCTCTTCGGAGGGCCGTTCGGATTAGGAGGAGGGGGAGGAGGAGGAGGAGGAGGATGAGGAGGATGAGGAGAAGGACGAGCTGGAGGAGGAGGGGAGGAGGAGAGGAGGAGGAGGAGGAGGAGGAGGAGGAGGAAGAGGAAAAGGAGGAGGAGGAGGAGGGGGAGGAGGAGGAGGAGAAGGAGGAGGAGGAGGAGGAGGAGGAGGAGGGGGAGGAAGGAGGAGGAGAGGAGGAGGAGGAGGAGGAGGGGAGAAGAAGAGGAGGAGGAGGAGGAGGAGGAGGAGGAGCCCCCTGGCGGGCGCCAGGGAGGTGGCCGACCCAGGAGGTCCGCGCGGACCGCCGAGAGTGTCTCTCCATGCAGAGGCTCGTACTACTATGTGCCAGCAGACGGAGCTCGACGAGAGCCTCCAAACGGCGGCCCTGAAGCCCACGGTGCCCTTCCCTCTGTGGTCCTGTCAGCAGATGCCTCTATCACTATGACACCGGCTTCTAGATCCTGGGGAGGGCGCCCCCCCCATTTTCAGCAGAGTTCGACGAGATTTTCATAACGGCGGCACTGAAGCCAAGGTTGGCCTTCCGTGGTCCACTCTGGCTCGGGAGCCGATTCGACAACATTGCAACGGATAGGTTCTGTTAGTCGTGAGGTATTCCGCCTTCCTTCCGCTCCTTTGCAGGGGCGCAGGGTGCGAGACAGTTTGCGGTGCAGCTGTGGCCCAGCGCCGTCGGCATCTGCTCGAGTGAGCAGATTAATTGTCCAGGGCCCCAGGCAAGCTTGGCCCCTGGCACACGGGCAGTATCCAACATGATCTTTAGCAGGAGGAGGAGGAGGAGCGGAAGAGAGGAGGATGGAGGATCAGAAGTATGGTGTGGAGGCTGAGGGTCATGCGAGGAGGAGTGAGTGGAAGAGGACCAGCGAGGAGGATGGCGGCGTGCCCGTCCCCCCATCCTCACTCTATTTCCTCCCCGCTTACTTGCCCCCCTCCGCCTTCTCCGCCTGGAGCCTCGTGCTGCTCACCGCTCGCGCGTGCACACGGCAGTCACAGGACATACATGGCGAAGTTTGTGACAATAGCAGCATGGCCATTTGCTGCGTTCTTCAACGACGCTTCTGCACCCAACGTTGACCACGTTCGCGTCGTCGAGCTCTCGAGCACACTCACTGACAAGCAGTCCGACTGCCGCTCACTCGGCGAGTCAGTCGCCAGCGCTCATGCCTGCAGCAGATTCCAGACAGACCGACGCCCAGCCCAACGCGCATTGCGGTGGCTGCCGTGGGCGATCCCCACTTGCTTAATGTCCGCGCAGCCACTTGCTTAATGTCCGCGCAGCTGAGAAACACGTTTCGCGGGACGCACGCTCAACATTCATGACGTCGCGTGGAAGCCGGGGTGCGCGAAATTAAGTGGGCAATGTGTCGACTCGTTTTTTCCTAGAGCTGTTTTTTCAGGGCAAAGGGCGAATGCGGAGCAAGTTGGTAGACTCAGTACACGTCGCACAGCGAATTCAACCAGATTCCGAGTACGCGGGGTGGTGGGGTGGCATCGAGTATTGCAATGTGTACGTCAAACACTTGGACCGAGGAGGGTTTGGTTTCGAAAGTTTGCTGGGAGTCCTCGAAGAGGTAAGCGAGCATCCAGCCGCGTGCGCACATCAGATGCGCCTGTAGCAACTTTGGGATCAGTGTCCATCTTCGACCTCGGTCGCAGCAGCTGCCTCGTGACACGTTGCTCCGCGGCAATTCAGCGAGCGCCTGGCAGGGGGGGCCCTATGCGGTGCTCTCCCCCTTCTCACACAGGGGGCACTGTGAACAAAAGAACTTGAGCGCCTTGGGCATCATAAAGCTATTCTAGGAAGTGAATCAACATTTTTCTACTGCGATCTTGGGTGGGGAGGGTGGGAAGGTGGAGGAGGAGGATCAGACACGCGCAGAGGGCGGTATGGGGGAATTGGGAAGGCTTCTTAGCGGAACCCCTCGTTCTTAGAAGGCGCGAGTTTGGCCGGCGCTTTTTTAAGAAGCAGCCTCCTACGAAGTGTTCCACCCTCCCTTGATCCCCCTCTGCGCGCCGCCGAGGGGAGGAATAATGGTAATTTTTGGGGCTGCTCCAGAGGACCGCTAGTTCGGCCTTGCGCGACGTATGGCGCAACGTATTGCGCAACCCATGGGACGCATATTCTTGGATGCATATGTTTGTCATCCGCGGCGATGGCAGCCACTAAGCGAGCTCATCGAAGTTACTGCGACACCATCTATCCGCTCCGCGCAGGGCCAGGATCTGCCCGCCAGAGGTTACCTGCTAGCCCTATCTGTCTGTCTCTCTATCTCTCTCTCGCTCTCTCTCTCTCTCTCTCTATGTCTCTTTCACTCTTGTTCGTTTGAAAGTGCACGTGTTCCACATGGTTGCGCAAGCGCAAGATGCTCTTCTCCTCTTGGAACCCACGGCCCTCGTCCTCACCGGACTCCACGTCGTCCCTCCCTCTCCCTAGTCGCGCGGGCGATGACCCACGGAACGAGCAGACAGACCTGCGCCATTCCCCCATCACCCAGGCGCAGAAGCCCGTGCTGGTCGAGCTCTTCTCCCCGCTGTGCGGCCACTGCCAGCACTTCGCCCCGGAGTTCGACCGCGTCGCGGCCCAGCTTGCCGGGGCTGGGCGAGTTCTGCCGGCGATCCGACCGCGCGCGCGCCGAGTGCTTCTTTGTCTGTCCATTGATATCTCTCGTTTTCGTCTCGCTCTCTCTCTCTCTCTCTCTCTCTCTCTCTCTCTCTCTCTAGTTATATTGGTATGCGCATATGTGCGTGTTTGTGTGCACATGTTTTGTATATTCTCTCTTTCTCTTTCTCTCTGTCTCTCTTCATTTGGTCCCGAACGCAGGGAACTTACAACCGTGGTGGTGCTGGGTCGGTTCCTGGGCTGGTGTTTTCATCCGCCGAGCTGTTCTGTTAATAAACATCCTCTCCCCTCTCTTCTGTGCCCTGTGCGACAGACATGCTCTCCACAGCCATTAAGGCTTGCGGGGCACTGGCGTGCCCAAGGACTGTAGTTGATCTCGGGTGTTCCTGGGCGTGCCTGGGCGTGCCTAAAGATCACCCTCGCTTGTCCATGTGATCTGCCACACTCCCATGCCAGCCGACAGTGGTAGCTGGAGCGTGGACGAGGCCGCAGGGGAGCGAAAGGGCAGCGACGGGCACGGGTCGCGGAGCGCCGCCGGTGACGCACGGTCCGTTCGGCAGCCAGCAGTTCGTGGGGGTCGACGAGACCCCGCCGTCGACCACTTCGGTGGCACGGATCCGTGGGAGCAAATCTCCGGTCCAACCAGGACGGCGTCGGCGGCAACTGCCGACGAAGCCGCCGCGGGCACGTCCGCCTGGGAGACCCGAGACGGGTGGGCATCAGGCTGGGTTTGGCGACCTGACTGGAGCTGGGGGGCGTGGTCCTGGAACGATTCGTGGTTTCACCCATGGAAAAATTTGATTGTCCCCCGAACAGAAAAATATCTCAGCACCACCACGGTGGCTCGGAATGGAGCATCTGAGGCTCTACGTTTCCAACGTCACCTCCTGGAAAGCAACGGCAGCTGACAGACCCGAACGACAGGCAGGGCGAGTGCCCGAAACGTATCCAGCGGAGATGCAAAAGTCCCAGGCGATCATAAGCTCGTTAGATCCCCCCGAAGGCCCATCTCAGCTGATCGAGTACTTAGAGCTGCTCAAGGGGCACCGACCAGGAGACAGAGAGAAAGAGAGGCCCAGAACGAACTACGCTTGATTTTGCAATCAGAAAAAATGAGAGCCTCAAAGTTTTCATAGCTCGACGCGACAGTCAGCTGGCGACGGCCGAGAGAATCGCCGGGCTCGTGCTGGACTAGGATGGCAAGATTCTACAAGAAGGGATGTGGTCTGACGGGGCAAAATCGAGGCAACTTGAGAACTACGTTAACGGAAACAAGAAATATATCGTGTCAGCTAGGAGTGCGATTCTGGAGCTCGACGTGTCAGGACGTCAGGACAGGGTTTCTTGCCGAAGACGTCGACCGCGACGAAGCTCGAAGCCGAGTTTCGTGACCGCGACGAGCTCGAGTCCAAGTTTCGTAGATTACGCTGAGGATCTGGAGGGCCCGGTAAGACCGACGACACAGGCCAGTGCATTGGCACATGCGAGACCGAGTGCGACGAGGACGAGCTCAACGCCATGTTGGCGTCGCTGGGTGACAGAAACTTGGCTGGGAAAGATCTCGTAGACGTACTTGCCACTGTCACCACAGGCATCAGACGCAAGACGTGGCAGGAATCACGCTAGATGAAGAACAGCCAGCGAGTGGATCGCGACGTCTGTGACCGACGACGAGAGGGCAAGGCAGGATGCAACGGCAGTCCCGGTAAGATCCATCGGCGTCGCGTTTTCCAAAAGAGATCGACATGCGCGAATGCGCTGAGAAACCGAGCACTGGGGGGAAGACTGCAGGGAACCGCGCAGCAACAAGACTGATCGTTTGCAGGCCGAGGCGGACCAGAGACAGAGCCCGTTTTATTTCTTTGACTTGTCCCAAGATGCCGCTCGCTCCAGGAACTCTCGCGCCGCCGAGACGGCGTCTCCAGATAATGACCGGGGCGACGAGGGCCGCGCGTGCCCCGCCATTCTCGGAGACCATGACCAGAGAGATGCGACGGGCCAGGTGCGCCTGGAGTCAGATGGCGCATTTGTCGCGGCAGTCGCTCTCTTGGGCATGGACAATCAGGCTTTTCGTAGACGCGGCCGCTGGTCAGGCCGGGGCGGGGCCCCCAGAGGAGTCGCGGAGGCGTTCTACAGCAAGGGTTTCGCGGCTCAGATCAGCAAGGAATTATTCGACCTGCCTTCGGGCAGCGGAGTCACCAGTCGGGCGAGAGTGCCAATGTCGATGCGCGGTTTTGGAGTTGTCGAGTTTTCAATTCCCCCGCGCCCGCGCCCACCGACGAGCTGTCATTCGGCGATGGGGGGGCGGGCGCAATGGTCCCTCCATTATTTCATTCCTTCAGGTCATCGAGCGGAGTTGATTGGCTTGGGCCCCCCCGAGTTCCGACTTCATCCGGACCGGGCGAAGCGCCCCCCTCTTTCGCGACGGAGTCCGAAGGGTCCTGGGCGGGCGCCGCAGTCGAGGGCCTTAGTTTGGACGACTGTTGCGCGGCGCTGGGGGGGCGCGATTCGTAGAGCGCAAGCGAGGCCGCGCGAGGATTTCTCAGATCCGAGGCAAGCCCAGGACTTGCCGACCCCAGTCCTGGGCGCGGCCGATTCCCCCGAGCACCGCGAGTGGGCGGCCGCCCGCGCGCGCAGTTTCCGGGAGACGGTCACCTTCGACCGCCGGCCCTATAGTCCGGGCGCTGGCCTGGCGCGCGGACTCACGCCTGATTCGGGGCCAGTCAGGGGAGGGGCGGGGCGCGTCGGGGCAGCTCCTCCATCTGTCGCGCCCCGTAGAGCAGCTGTCTCGCTCTCTCAGCCCCCCCCCCCCCCCCCTAGCTTCGAGCGGCGAGCCTCGCGGGATATGTGGTTTGAGGCAACGCCCGATCCACCCGCCCGAAGCCCTCGGCCCGCGCCCGCCCAGGCCAGCCAGCGCGCCCAGCGACGGTCGCGGGCCCTCGGTCTGCCTCGAGCAAGGGCAGCGCGGGCCCGAGCGGCGCCGCGGACAAGGGCAAAACGTTCAACGGGCGGGGCGCTGCACCAGGAGCCCGAGAGCCCGGAGACGTTCCAGCAGGTCGAGGACAGCGAGATGGACGCCAGTTGGGGCGCGCCCTCAGACCCCTGGGCGGGCGGCCAGGCAGATCAATTTCCACGTGGAGACCGTGACAGAGGTGAGGCGGGCTCTCTTCCTGGGCGCGGGATTCGCCCCATCGCCCCCAGGCCGTCGCTGGCGGCGCTGGGCCATCGAGCTACTCGCAGCTCATCGCAGGGCGGCCGACCTGCGCATCCCAGCCGCGCTGGCGCCGCAGGCCAGCCTCTTCGCGCGCGAGCTCAAGGGCGAGGCGGCGGATCGAGAGACGCGCCCTCGCCCGCTCGCGCTCCGCAAGTCAGGAGGGGGGGGGGGGGGGGGCCGGCGCGGATGGCGCGTCAGGTACGCGAGGCGCATGTTGCGCCTGGAGCTCGCCAGGAAGACCCCTGGGAGGTCGAACAGACGCGCCAGGGCAGCCTGGCCAAGAAGGATATTCCATCAAGAAGGAAGACGGAGGGGCGCGCGGAGATCGAGCCGCTCGCCGAGATGGCCCAGCCGGCCCCCCTGGCTCCGTCGGCGCGCCCGATGCCGCTGCCCGCCGCGAGGCCGACCCATTCCGCCGCGATGGGGGGCCCGCCAACTTCGAAGTCAACGCCGAACCAGAAGGCCCAGCCGACCGATTTCGAGAAGATGCAGCGGTTCATGATCGAGGACCGCGAGGAGAGGGCGAGGCAGATGGACGGCCTGGTCGCTGCCGCGCACCAGCTCTCCAGCACGGCGCAGGCATGGACCCTCGGAGGTGCCAGGCTCGGACTACGCGGCCTGAGTCGGGCCGTCGACGGCCCAGCCACGGGCGCCGAGTTTCGCGGCGCCTCTGCCTCCTCCCGCACTCAGGCGCAGGTTCGCGAGAGCCGATGTGGTAACGAGTTGCCATCGCCCCTCCTCGGTTTTCCCGCCTGAGGCTGGCAACCCTGGTCGCGGTAGAATAAGCTTTCCCCGACGTGGCCTTCTAGCGGCTGGATCGCCAGGAGCTTCAACACGGCAATGGCCTTTGTCGGTCGGGCCCCGACGATGAGGCGCCCGAGGTGCCCTGGGGCTCTCTGGGGCCCGAGGCTCGGCGAGCGTCTGGAATTGGGGGTTGTTTGCGATAAGATGGGCCGGGGGCCTCGGCCTCGCGGAGGGCCGCGTGGAGAGCCTTCTTGGTTCTCATCAAGGCTAGTGGCCAGGCAGTCGACCCCTTTGCTGTCGCCCGGCGCTTCAGATCGTGGACCGGAGCAGCGGGGCGACAGTTGCAGACGGCCCCCCCCCCCTTCTCTCAGTCTTTTGGTCCGGATGCGGCGGGTTTCTCGGGCAGCAGCCTAGACGTCGTCACGTGGGAGACTTCGGCGGGCCCCCATCGGCGTCTCCGCGCGAGTCCACGGCGGCTCTGCCAGGCCTCAGAGTCGGCCGGGGACTTAGCGAGCTAGGATGTCGGGGCGTCAGCGAGCCAAGCGGTCGGGGGCTCAAAGTCGCCGACGGAGAGTCTCCAATTGCCGACTGGGCCTTCGTCGACCTCCAGCTAGACCCCGCCCAGGACCCCGTTTCATTGGCCGGCGCCCTTCGGAGTGCGCGACTGAGAGCGCGCAGCCTCTCGGGCTCGCACGCCGCTCCAGGGCCCATCCAGCGCCCGGCTCGCACGCCGCTCCAGGGTGCCTTGAGGAAAACGGGGAAGTTTCTGTGCCCGGAGCTCTTTTCGGTTTTCCGGGCGAAGGAAAAGTTGGGGAGGAGAGGGTTTCACGCCTCGCCCTCGATTGACCTGGAGTCAGGTCGGGATCTTCGCCCCCTGTTCCCTATCGGACCGCATGCGAATTTGGGCCCAGCTAGAGACGGACAGGCCCCAGATCGTTCTTACGCCCCCACCTCGCACGGGCCCCAGCCAGGCCAGGACCGCCACTTCTCATTTAGTCACTTGCCGCGAGAGTCAAGTTGGAGCAGGCTTCCCGGGGGAGGTCGTTTCGGTTTGAGCATCCAGAGTCGGCGCGCAGCTGGCAGATGGGGGCCACGCAGCATCTGCCCCCCCCCCCCCCCCCAGGCACCCAGGCCACGATCGGGGACCAGTGCGAATGTGGTCCCAGCGCCGCCCCGGGAACGTTGTCCAGGCAACCCTCTCGTTCTCTTGCGAACAGCCCCGAGATCTTCTCCGCTTGCTCACGACAGCGCTCGGGCAAGCGTCCTCAGCTCTCCGCGGCGGGCGGGGGGGGGGGCGCGAGCTGCGCGGCGCTGCCCTCCCGCGCCGGCGGCGGCCCTCGGCGGCGGGGCCGAGCTGAGGCCCCGCCCAAGTCGATCCTGACACCGACGGAGAGGGTGGCCCGCCCCAGACCCCCCAGGAAGTCAGAGTTCGCGCGCGCCCTGAGAGTTGCTCGGTTCAGAGACGACAGCGCCCAGTGGGGTTGACAGTGTTTCGGGCGTCTGAAGCGCCAGTCGGACGCTCGCCCTCACCGGCGGCAGATAGCCCAGCTTCCCATGGCAGACGCGCTCGACAAGCCCATTGCCATGTTCCTGCTTTATGTGTCAATTGTCGAGTTTTCGGTTCCGAATTTGAAGATAGCCGACCATGGCGCCAACTATCCAGTTTTTGCAGGATATTGTAAATGCGACGGCTGATCAGGTGTGGTCTGGGCTCGTCCGCAGTTGGATACGCCTGCGGGGAAGGACAGAGATCCTCGTGACAGATGAGGAGGCCTGAGTTCGAAGGGGGGTGATCTGGGGCCTTCAGGAGTTAGGGCGCGTCACCATATCTCTGACGCAGAGAGCGCGGCAAAACGGCTGGCGCGAGAGGCGCGGTGGTCTCGGGAAGCGCGCGCCGCCCAGGGCAATGTCAGTTGTTTCGCACAAGGATCGGGAGGAGCTGGAATACCTTTTGTGCCAAGTGCTGGCCGCCGCAAATCGATGCAGCCACGGTGGGGGGACTCCATATCAGTTGGCTTCAGGCGGGAATCCTCGCGACGCCGTCGACGACGTCGGGGTTGTCGACGTCGCCCAGGGGCCCCAGGACACGGAGGGCCCAGCCGCGGCCATTGCGAGCAAGCATCCGTTCCGGGAGCGGGCCCGAGCGTGGACTTTCGGATAGATTCCAGCAGGCCAGCAAGTCCCATCACAACGCCGATCTGAAGTTTCATCCGGGCACTCGGGCCCGCGTCTGACGATGTCCGATGGGCGGAGCCCGGGCGGCTGGGGGCCGCTGGACACGCCTCGGTTCAGTTGTCTTCCAACGAGGCACTGCGGTCTGGATCGCCATGAGGTCGCGTCTGCTGGACTATTGTCGAACAGATTCGGGCTGCCTCGCGTGACGAAGCCCAGGGGGCGGGGCTTCTCGACGCCGCCCACCTAGCCGCCCCTCGCCAAGAGCTTCAGCACCCGAGCGGCCGATTGGGCGCCGTCGACGTTGAGGCCGAGGGCCCCCCCCAAAGGCTTGGGACGTTCCGAATCCTCGGGCACGTCCGTCAGTGGTCCCAGGGCCCGCTCAGCAGGCCGGTCAAGAATCAGCTCAGCATGCGCCCCTAGAGCCAGCTGGCGAGGCAAGGCCCGCCGCCTTTCACAGAGCCCTAGAGGGGGCCTCCACTCCGCCCCCTTCTCCCCGACCTCGTCGAGTCTTCTCGTTTCAAGTTTTGTCTTCATGTGGTTCGGCTTCGATCGGGCCCCCCTCGGGCCCGAGGCTGCCCGCGCGGCTCGAGCCGCGGGGCGGGCCATCTTCGGCACTTGCTCCGAGCCGGAGGCCGAGCCCCCTCGCGCTCAGAGACCGAGGGCCACACCTGCGGAGGACAGGCTTTCAGGTCAAGGGTCAGACATGTCGGCGGTGGCTGAGATAGAACGGTTGACCGGGAACGGACTTCTGGATGACGCGCCGACATGCATTCGGAGGTCTCGCGAGGCGGAGCCCCAGACGGACCTCCCCCCCCAGCCCCCTGGGACCCCAGCATGACCCAGGTCGCGCTCGCCGAGTCGAGCCAGCGATAGACGCGCCGAGGCGCCCGGATTCGCCGGAGGCTCGCGGCATGTTGAGTTGGAAGAAGTTCCAGCACGAACAGCTGTGGGAAGAGATGTGCAGCGCCGGTTTCGTTTCGATTCGGCTTGCCAGACGTCGCCCGAGATCGTTTCCTCAAGTTCTGCTTCAGTTTATAAAATCCCCCGAGCCGCCGCCCCGCCGGGGTGCTGGGGCCCCGCTCGAGTCTCTCTCGCCTCAGGAGCGAGAGCTCTTCGAGTTCTCGGGCGCCAAGGAATGGCGGGCAATTTTGCGACCCAAGGCCGTTCGGGTCGTTCCCGCTTCAGTGGCCCAGCTAATCAGGACACGGTGTCCCGACCGCATCTCGGGCCCCCGGATGGCCAAGCGTTTCAAGCCTCAGGAAGGCTTGGGGTCGTCTCCCCAGGCGAAATCGAGGCGAGGCGTTCAGGCCCATCGCGACCCGGGTGGGAGGTGTCTTCAGGTGTACGCGCCCGCGCTGCAGGTCGAGAGTTTGACGTTGACCCCGCAGGTGCTTGCGTTTCTCGGATGGGCCCTGCAGGTGGCCGACGCCAAGAATGCGCTCTGTCAGTCGAATCGATTGAGTCGCCCGTCCGTGCAAATTGATGCGAGCCGCGCAAATGGCCCCAGGCGAGCCGATTGAATCAGTTGCCCCAGTCCACGGGCTCAGCGATGCTCCTTTGCAGAGTCATCGCGCGCCCACCGAGTGCCTGATCCAACACGAATTTGAACAGACTCGATTCGAACCGTGTCTTTGGATTAAGAGGAACTCGGATGGCGTCCCTCTTTCGGCCACCCTAATCGAGGTCGGCGACCTGACTATTGCTTCGCACAGCTCGGTGAGGCAAGCGGCCCAAAGCAGGCTGCAAGGATGCGTCACTTTGTGGCAAATCGGGGATTCAGAGTTTGCCGCGCGTCACCTGAGACAGATGCCCGACGACTGGCCAGGAGAAAAACATTCTCGAACCGTCGGCGGCCAGACGTATCGAAAAGAATCGACGAGCGGATCCTTCTTCCTCCTTCCTGTCTCCCGGTGAGGTGCGAGCACGCAGGACTATGGTAATGTCGCTCGGATTCAGTGGCTCGGGCGCGAGCCGCGCCCGGACTTCGCTGGCGGCGCTTCTATTCCGTCTGCCGCCGCGCCGCCGCCAACGCTCGAATCTGCCTGCCCTGCTGCGCTGCGAGATCGTTCGTCATCTCGAGCAATTCATCGGCGCCCTGGAGGGTTGTGATCTGGCCCGTGGGCCCGCACGAGGTCTCTTTCGCGGCGATCTCGGACGCCGGCGGGCCGGGCACGGCTCGCAGGAACGGCGCGCAAGGCGCGCGCCTCGTCGTCGCGGCGGACTCTGAGATTTGAAAGAACCGGAGGGTGAGAGCTTCGCTGCTTGCTTGGAGGTCTACCCGTCTCAAACGAGCCGCGTCGTCCACGAGCGCAGCGGAGACTCAGCCTTTCTGCTTCGCAAGGTGGCGATGCGCCATTTTTCATGACGTTGCTCGCCGGTCCTGGAACTTAGGTCAAGCGCCCTTTTCCGAGGTCCTGAGTTCTTATTGTTCGTCGGCTGAAGATGCGCCCGTTGGCAAAGCCAGTGCTGACTCAAAGCAAGACCGCCGCACCGCTATCGAACTAGCAGTAGCCCGCGGTGCCGCGAGCTCGATGGGCAGTCAAGTCAGATGGGACCCGCGCGGCTTCATGGCGGCCGACACCCTGGCACCGACACCCTGGCACAAGAAAGTCCAGGTCGTGGAAAACAATGCGCTGGCCGATTCACTCAGCCGTGAAACGCTGTGCCTCGTAGATG